GCCTTGACTTGGCACCAGATGGGCACAGAGATGTGTGACTTGCTTTCGACTCTACCCACCTGTGGGACATTTGTTCCATTACAGCATGTAAGGATTTCAGCGATGGCACTCCGTGGGCTCATTTCATCCTTCCGTGTGTCTCTCTGTCTCTCTTGTTACCCAGTGAAGAGTGTTGCATAGAATATGACCAGGTCCTCCTCTTGTATTTTTATCTGAGAACCAGAAGGCAGCAATGCTGATCGATTCAATTATGGCTTTAAAAAATAAATAAATGTAAGATTTAATGACACCACTAAGTAGTAATCTTTAACGACACAGGAACTGAATATGATTTAAAGAACTATATCTACCTAGATACAATTAGGTACTGTTTACCAAAAAAAAAAAAATTCTGATTCAGTTTTTGTACTTTTATTTCTTCTTTTGTATGTATTCTTTTTTTCTCCAATGAGCCTATACAATTTCTGTAATAACGAAATGGCATTTTTAAAGATCTGAGCATAGTATTTGCATGTAATAGTTATTTGATAAACATTGCTTTTGCTCTCCCTTGATTCAGATACATTTTTCTCCCTAAAAATCTTCACAAGCCAAACTGCAAATTACATGAACAAATCTTTAAGAAAATATTCATTTATTCAGCGAATTTTTATTGAATACTTTTTATGTACCAGGCACTATCGATAATGTTTGTGCAAAAAATTAATGCAATGTTTTTTTTTTTCTTTTTCTACTTCCTCTCTCTGCTGCTCTGTCTAGTCTGAAGTTTCCTGGATCCCCAACAAACATTACTCTGGGATTTACGGTCTGATGAAGCTCGTCCTCACCAAGACTCTTCCTGCCAACCTGGAGAGGGTCATCGTCCTTGACACGGATATCACCTTTGCAACCGACATTGCGGAGCTGTGGGCCGTGTTCCACAAGTTCAAAGGTAATTGGAGCCTACTTTTTTTCTCGTACTTTTAAAGGTGTCATCATGCCAAGAATAGTGGATTATATATATATTTTTTAAATGAGAGGTCAACTCCAAATGAGTTCATATTAATGAAATGACTAAGGAATTACAAAGACATTTGAGTATCAACTCTACTGGCGTCTGAAGCATGTTAAAGTGGAATTTGCATTTCCTTAGTAAATGAAGAGACAATTAAGGTCCATGTTCATAGGAAGAAGCCAATGTAGGATGCTTTGTAAGAGGTAAATATCAAATATGTATATTTTGTATGCGGATAGTTGAGTGTTGACTGATAGGTTTTTTCTTTTATCAGATGATACTTTGACGAGAAAGCCTGTGAGGCGGTGGTGATGGGTGTTACTATAGAGTGTTTGGAAATGTTCTTATGGCTTTTGCTTTCATTCACATTGTGGTTTATCATTGTAAAGGGGTCTATAAGTTTGGCTTTACGAGACATTCCTTCTAGTCTGGTGAGTTTCTTCTTAGCTATTATTGTAGCTCTTGCCACTGCCTCAAAGTATATAAGAGTACATGGTGGGAAATTGTTGAGCCCAGTAGGTGTACTTAACTCTGAGCGAAGGGAAGGGTTAGTATAAATCTCCGGCTGTCATTTTAACACCCCTCTCCCAGATGTCGTCCTTAAAATTGAAATATTTTTAAAATTCTTCTGTATGTCAGACAAATACAATGAGAGACAAAGTTGGCAGTACAATTTTCTCCTCCCTTCCC